ATACGCACACACACACATACACACAGACACACACACACGGAGAAAATCACTATTATCAAACATGTTGGTTTAGTTCACTGTATCTGTGGTCTCGAACACTGCGGTCTTATAGAAAAAAACTCAATTTCTACGTAGATGCTGGACGATGTAGGATCCATGTAAGATAGAAGTAGCGCACTACCTCCACTTCATACGGCTCTGTAATTCTTCTCGTATTTTATGTTTAGGGGATTCACTGAGTTTTCACAAGGGTCAACCTTTCACCACAAAAGACAGGGATAATGATGCAGATGGACAGAATTGTGCACAGCACTTCAAGGGAGCCTGGTGGTATAAAAGTTGCCACGTTTCCAATCTGAACGGTCTGTACCACCTTGGTGAACACAGCTCGTCTGCTGATGGCGTCAACTGGGCGACATTTAAAGGGTACAAACACTCCCTGAAGACAACGGAGATGAAAGTTCGCCCCATCGGCTATAAACCTGCCTCCGTTAAAAGTGGCTAAGCAGATGTTATTGCTATTACGTTGTAATTTTGACAAAGAAAACAAAATGCAAGTAAAATATCTTGTTTTATATATGCCCTTGTGTTATTCCACTGTAAAATTTACCTTTTACAAAAAATGTTGCATTCATGGAGTCCAGTCCTTCTATTCAATTTATTTTTTGAAGTCTTAGCATTCCAATTCAAAAGTTCAAAACGGTTGAAGGTAAAAGAAAATTGTACTTGTATTTTACAGTGCCTTATGCTAGTACAAATTTCAGCTATGAGATTTTAAAAGTGATGTGGCTCATGCAAAAGTGCATTAATACGAATTTTGCATACTTCACAGTCACGCATAATAAAACTTGTGAATATTTTTTGGGGGGTCGGGGGACGGGGGACGGGGGTCGGGGGCAGTTAGGGGGAGGATGTACATAGTTCCCTGTGGATGGGGATATCAATAATATTTCTTATTAAATACAGTTGCGCTTATTACCTATACTTGAAGTGATTCTGATCATTTAACCGATGGCCCAAGTTCTCCTCCTTTGATTGGATATTTTTTCTTTTCTTCCTTGACGAATGGTGACTTCTCTGCCCAGTTACGTCCCCAGGACTTGGGTACACGTAGTCCAAAATGGTGATCAGAAATTTAGTCACCGATTGACAATGAGTCCAACTACAAATATACAATCATTTTCCAATAATTTCTCAAGCCGTGTTACGGCTTTGAAAATAAAGGCCATCTTTTGAGGCCATTGGCCGTCCAAATGATAACCGTGCTCTCTGGGGAAAGCCTTGCTCCTCGCCAATAGACTTTCATAGGGAAGGAGGGAAGGATTGTAGGAGGGGGGTAGGCGAGACCATTTGACTTTTCCCCCTCCCCCCTAAGTTCTTCATATCTGAAATCTGCCAATGCCTTTTTGCATCGTTGATTTAGTCTCAAACATCATCTGAGATTTAAACGACACAAAAGATTCTTTCTTTTGTAAACGCACACCGCCACTGCCTTTATCTCTTCGATCTGTTAGAGTGTGGTGATGGGTAACACTACACCGCCAACGTAGGGCGTGATGTTCATAAATATTTCTATCAGAATGGCAATTCCGGGAGCCAGTAATACCTAGATATTATAAAAATTAATGTAGGAGTGGAGGGGGGGGGGGGGAGCATTCTTTTTCAGTGTCTAAAATTAATTAAGCTAGTTTTGTGACTGTTTGGTAACATATGGCAGGGACGTTAGTTGAGAATAATCCTTGGTGGGTGAGTGGCGGTAATCAAGCGAGTGCTGCCCATCATTATACTTTCTTATTACACTTTATTTCACTGTACTCGTTAATTGTCAGCGTCTACCGTTTTTATTTTTTCCGGTACCTAGAAAAGTAAAAGTAAAATTGTCATCTTCTGTTGTTTTACATTTGACCAGGGAAAAGAAAATTTTTGTTGCTTGTGCCATCCCTAAGCAAAATAAACCGCCAGTGTATATTTATGTGGTTCATCTGGCTTGGATCTGTTTATTTTAACATGGCAATATATATGAGACCTGTGTTCGGGAAGTTTGCTCGCATTTAGTCCTCTGGAGACAATTTAAAAAATATTAATGAATTCATTGAATAATGGTACGCAGATACCCGCATTTATAGATCCAATATCTTTTTACGATCTACTTGCTTTGTTACTTCTACTACGGTTAGATAGAAACTGGATATTATGATATTATCAGACCATTTTGATCTACGTCTGTTCTGTATTGAAAGGCGTTTTTAATATATACCGCTCCCTATTTCTGACTCACAGCTGATTTCTGAGAAATTCGCGCATGCGTAATCACCATTTTATTTCATACACCTTCAAAAATTTTGTATCAAATCAGAATGACGCGTGTCGCGTGACTAGATCATCCTTAAATATCGCTGCTAAGAATATAATTGCATTCTTCTGTTGGATACATATACCGTAAAGAGCAATGGAGTTGACCTACAAGTATATCGTTGTTTTACTATGTGTTCTTGAGGTTACTCTGGGAATTCAAATGTATGAGTAAGTGCTGCATTTAATCGTTTAATGATAGTGATTATATTTCAGTATAATGAATTGCATACTAGCATCGAGCAAATAATTTCACTGATTTTTATTAATATTGAATATCAGTTGGCTTAATTAGTTGCTGTCTCAACTTTCCTTGACATCTACAATATCGTTATTTACTAACAATTTTTCTTTTTGAAAAAAAAAATATTTGAAATTCTTCAAAATAGGAGGTACTGTCAAAATGGCAAGCTAATCAATGGTAGTTTTTCTCATGCATGATGAAAAAGAATCACTATGATAAATTATTTTCTTTGGTGAATATTTTTCCAGATCAAAATACCCATTAGTTTAAAAAGGACAGTCACGCAGACAAAATAAATGCTTCTAATGTGAAGTTGCATTCAAAGTATATGGCTCCTTTAAATTATTTTGTTCTTGTAGCATCAAGCGCCGAGATATTCAAGCCACATCCCAGTCTCAGTGTTCAGTAACATCCACCCTGCTGGACTTCCTGAAGAACGACAGGAAACGCCTGGAAGACAGATACGACAATCAGCTGAAACGCTTAGAAGGCAGATGCGATGATCAACTGAAACGCTTGGAAGGCAGATACGATGATCTGGTAGATAAATATCTTAAACTGGTACAGACGACAACAAATTTACAAGTGAAATTTGCAAACTTTACCGCGGAAAAGCAAGGTAGTAAGTTGCATTTTCTACAAATGGCAGCTTTTGTTCAATTCAGTTTATTTAATTTAATTTTATAAATTGTGGGAAATATCTATTTGTTTCTGTTTATGATGTGTGCAACTAACAGAAAAAAGGTTATATCACTGTTTTTTCCGAACCTCCCATAATTAGATAACTGTTTACAAATAATACATGCTGAATGCTGATAGCGATGGAGGCATCTTCTCGTTTTAAGGCATATGTCAACATGATATAACATAAATATATTACGGTGATATTACGAATATAACGAAATATGCTAACGTCTGATTACAGTAAGTGGTCGGGACTGCGCTGATTTGTACAAGAACGGCGTGAAGTTGAACGGGGTGTATAAAATTACACCAAATAACGGTCAGAGCGCATTTAGCGTCTACTGTGACATGACCACTGACGGAGGAGGATGGACGGTATGATTAAGTTTAATTTATTTAAATTCAGATTAATTTTCATATGCTGAATTATTATATATATTTCAGATGTGTTTCAAAAGGATTTTCCGTTTTAGGGCGTTTTTTTTTTTTTTTGGGGGGGGGGGGTGTGTGGATCGGCCATTTTTTAGGTAAAAGGGCGCCAGATGTTTTTCTAAAGCCTTTAGTCACATTTTTCTTGTCAAACATATTGAAGGGTACTCATTTATGATCGTTTTTTTTCAAGACAGTACATCAAATCAACTGCTTCTCCCTGTTATTGGACAGAAGATTTTGTGAAGTATTTTGTACTTTCAGTTGTTCCAGAAGCGTATGGACGGTTCCGTAGACTTCTACCGTGGCTGGCAATCTTATAAGAATGGATTCGGAAACGTGAACGGGGAACACTGGTTAGGTAATGTAACATGATTAAACACATTTGATGTTCCTAAAGCTATAGGGATGTCGAAACCTGCAGACAAATGAAAAATTGCATTAAGTAGATTATGATGAATATTTCTTTTATCTCATTTGTATTCTGTTCTACAGGTAGAAATTGCTTTCAGTTACGCTGGGAGTGAAGGAAATTAGAATATATGTAGCACATTTTCAAAAACTGTTGACATTGTACATATGTTAATATTGTGTGTATTGCGTATTTTGTATCATTTGGACTCTATTAAAAGTTTACTGATTCAACGATATTTTAAATATAGATATATTTTCGGTCCTTTTTGACAAATGGATAAACAACTGAATTAAAAAATTGAGCCAGTCATTTATTTTTTTCTCCAGGGAATGAACAAATTAACACGATCACTAACCAAAAGCGATATGAGCTGCGTGTTGATATGGAAGACGCGAATGGTGTTTGGCGCTATGCCCATTACGACAACTTTGCTATCGCGTCAGAGAAAGCTAAGTACAAGTTAACTGTCGGGGCTTACTCTGGGAACGCAGGTAGACAATTAATTAATCTATCTTGTTTTGAAATTTAATCGTAGTCATAAACAGCAGTGGAGCGGTGATTTAGAGAGCACATCGATGTTTAAATGCACACACACACACTGCGAGGAATTATCTTTTAAATCGGTCTTTCAAGGAATTAAGGGTATCACTAGATACATGTTTGTACATGCACATGTTCAGCCCATGTGTGACTGTATTTCTGCACACACACACACACACACACACGCACACACACACACTAAAGTAACCCAGCGAGCAAATCATGTTGATTCAACGTTGACAAGACGTTGGCTTAACACTAGATTTAAAAATTGGATCATTAACATAACAACGTTGTATCAACGTACCCTCTACCAGGGCGAGTGATAGATTTTTTACAGATATTCACAGATATGTCTCTAGCTAAATAGATGGTCATTTAGGGCTCAACAGTTGAGCTATCTATCTATTTATCTATCTATAAGAAAGTTACGGTCACTTCAGCCTGCTATGTTAATCTATATAACGATCTATAACAGGATACTGTCAACTATCAACATCATTAATTTTACTCACACACATTTTAACACGACTCAGTTATCCTTGTGTTAGCTGACCTTGCTAGGATGTTTAGTAGAATATATTTCTGAAAAACAAGTGAAATTCGCTAGTTCACTATAGACACCTTTGAAGCACCATTATTTATATTTTGATAAAGTTAGTTACAGTATTGATGTCTATTTAATCTTTCCCGAAAGTAATAAACAATAGAACATCAGGATGATGGTGGGGTATTCATTTTAATAGTTTATTGAAGCTTTCATCACATGGCGGTTATTGCGGTAACGATAGCCTGAAGATTGTACAATTTGCACCGCGCAAGATTGGCCAGGACTGTTGTAAATGTATGTTTTAATGTTAAACAAGCCTGAGGTGGATAATGCGGCACTGCTATTGATGTTAATAGGCTACAACTAATTATTACCTATGGCATCATATATACCATGCAGCTGCCGTAAATTCATTTTGATACATTATGCCATATATAGACCTTCATATAAACAACGTATCACCTTTTTTATACAGAATTTACATCGATACAACATATTTTAAATTACAATCCATGTCTAGCATCACGACGACCAAAATACAACGTCGAATCAACGTCACATCATATATATGCGTTTTGATGTAGCTGGATCAACATTGATTCAACATTGAATTTAGGTAGTTCAACGGCCCAACCCGTTTTCAACGTTGAGCCAACGTCACTATGCCTACTGAGAAACCACTATCACAATATGTTCCAACCGTGTCTTAGTTCACTGTTTCTGTTCTCTCGAGCATTGCGGTCCTGTAGAAAAATATCAATTTCTACGTACATGCTGGGCGATATATGAACCTTTTTTGTTTGAGAACATAATGAACTAAGTACATTACCCCTGTACAAGGTATATTCTCATTTCATAAAACTCTGTAACTCTTCTCGTATTTTGTGTTTAGGGGATTCACTGAGTCTTCACAGAGGTTACCCTTTCACCACAAAGGACAGGAATAACGATGCACTTACCAGCCAGAATTGTGCACAGCAGTACAAGGGAGCCTGGTGGTATGAACGCTGTCACGATTCCAATCTGAACGGCCTGTACCACCTGGGTCATCACAGCTCATACGGTGACGGTGTTAACTGGAAGACATTTAAAGGGTACCACCACTCCCTGAAGACAACGGAGATGAAAGTTCGTCCCGTCGGCTTTACATCTTCCTCTGTTAGTAGTGGCTAAGGAAATGTAGTTGCTACTACGTTGTGATTTTGTCAAAGAAAACAAAATACAAGTAAAATATCTTGGATTATATATGCCTTTGTGTTATTCCACTGTAAAATTTACCTTTTGCATTTACAAAAATGTTGCATTCATGGAGTCTACTCCTTTTATTCAATGTATATTTTGAAGTCTTAAGCTTTTATTTTCAATGTTTGTTGCTCAATATTCCAATTGAAAGGTTCAAAATGGTTGAAGATAAAAGAAAATTGTACTTGTATTTTACAGTACCTTATGCTAGTACAAATTTCAGGTAGGAGATTTTATAAGTGATGTGGCTCATTCAATAGTGCATATAAATACAAGATTTTTATACTTAACAGCCACGCACAATAAAACTTGTGAATATTTTCAGGGGTTGGGGAAAGTGTATGCACATGTAGTTCCCATTGGATGGGGATGTCAGTAATATTTCTTATTAAATCCAGTTGCGCTTTTTACCTATACTTGAAGTGATTCTGATAATTTAACCGATGACCTGGGTTCTCCTCCTCTGATTGAATATTTTCTCTTTTCTTCCTTAATGAAAAGTGACATCTCTGTCCAGGGGCTTTCCCAGGACTTGGGGTACAGGTAGTCCAAAATGCTGATGTCCAATTTAGTCACTGCTTAACAGGGAGTATAAATACAAATATACTATCATTCCCAATAATTTCTCAAGCCGTGTTACGACTTTTGAAAATAAAGTCCATCTTCTGAGGCCAGCGGCCGTCCAAATGACGGCCTGAGGGCTCTCTGGGGAAAGCCTTGCTCCTCGCCTCGACTCTCATAGGTGATATATAAAAGGCTGGGAAGGAGTGAGGGAGGGAGGTAGGGTGAGACCATTTGACTTCTTCCCCCTCAGTTCTTCATATCTGAAATCTGCCGATGCCTTTTTGCATCGTTGATTTAGACTCAAACATCATCTGAGATTTAACGACACAAAAGATTTCCTAAACTGTAAACGTACACGGCCACTGCCTTTATCTCCTCGCTCTGTTAGAGTGTGGTGATGGGTAACACTACACCGCCAACGTAGTACGTGATGTTCGTAAAGATTTCTATCAGAATGGCAATTCCGGGAGCCAGTAATACCTAGATATTATAAAAGTGAATGGAGGAGTGGAGGGGGGGGGACGTCCTTTTTCAGCGTCTAAAGTTAATGAAGCTAGTTTTGTGACTGGTTGGTAATATATGGCAGGGTCCTTAGTTGAGAAAAAAAGAGAGAGAGAGTGGCGGTAGTCAAGCGAAAGCTGCCAACTATTATACTTTCTTACTATAATATATTTCACTGTACTGTTAATTGTCAGCGTCTTTCGTTTTAAATTTTTCCCGTACAGTGAAAAGTAAAACTGTCATGGTCTGCCGTTTTACATTTGTCCATGGAAGAAAGGGAATTTTTTCTTCCTTGTGACATCCCTAAACAAAAGAAACTACCAGTGTATATTGATGTGGAACATCTGGGTTCAACTTTGTGTTTTAACATGAAAGTATATATGAGACCTGTGTTCGGAAAGTTACTTAGCATTTAGTCTACTAGAGAAAATGATGAATTTATCGAATAATGACACGCTGCAAACCTTTTTTTAATAGAGTTAATATCTTCTCATGATGATCAACCAGCGTTGTTACTTCTACTACGGTTACATAGAAACTAGATATTACGAAATTATCAATTATCATTTTTATCTACGTCTGTTCTACCGCTCCCTATTTCTGACCCACAGCTGATTTCTGGGAAATTCGCGCATGCGTAATCACCATTTTTATTTCATACGCCTTAAGAAATTTTGTGTCAAATCGAAATGACGCGTTTGGCGTGACTAGATTATCTTTATATATCGCTGCTAAGAATAGAATTGCATTCTTTTGTCGGATACATATGCCGTAAAGAGCAATGGAGTTGGCCTACAAGCATATCGTGGTTTTACTCTGTGTTTTTGACGTTACTCTTGGAATTCAAACGTATGAGTAGGTGCTGCATTTAATCGTTTCTTCTTAGTGATTATATTTCATTATAATGAGTTGCATATTAGCATCTAGCAAATATTTTCAATGATTTTTATTAATATTTAATATCAGGTGGCTGAACAGGTTACTGTCTTAACTTTCCTTCACATCTACAATATCGATATTTATTAACAATTTTTCTTTAAAAATATTTGAAAATTTTCAAAATAGGAGGTACTGTCAAAATGGGAAGCTAATCAATAACATTTTTTTCTCATGATGAAAAAGAATCATTATGATAAATGATTTTCTTTGATGAATATTTTTCCAGATCAAAAAACCCATCAATTTAAAAAGGACAGTCACACAGACAAAATAAATGCCTCTAATGTGAAGTTGCATTCAAAGTATATGGCTCCATTAAAATGACTTTTTTCTTGTAGCATCAAACGCAGAGATGTGCAAGCCACATCCCAATCTCGGTGTTCAGTAACATCCATCCTGGTTGACATCCTGAAGAATGACCTGAAACGCTTGGAAGACAGGCACGATGATCAGCTGAAACGCTTGGAAGGCAGATACGATGATCTGATGGATAAATATTCTAAATTGTTACAGTCGACAACAAATTTACAAGTGAAATTAGCAAACTTCACCGCAGAAAAGCAAGGTGGTAAGTTGCAATTTTCTACAAATGGCGGCTTTTATTCAATTCAAGTCAATATATTTTATTTTATAATGTGTGGGAAATATTTAGACGCATTTCTGTTTTTTTCACAGACTCCCCATAATGAGATCACATACATGGTTGCTATTTAATATGGAATATTTTTTTATCATTGTTATTTTTGAGTGCTGATTAAATTTTGTTTGGCTTGATTCATCAAAAAAGTATGTCACTAAGTGATAAAAACATAGTTTTCTGCACGAGGGACCTTGACAAGGGTGTTTAAATGACATTCTGCCTCTCTTTTCTGAGGACACTGGTTGTATTTGTACGACCAGCACGGCGTCCTCTAAGGAGAAGGCAATCCTGTCTTCTTGGTGTGATACGCAGACACCCTGGTCGAGGTATTGGAGTAGGTGTCCCTGATGCCGCATTTCTTTGGAGGACGTTACAAGCAGTTCCTGATAAATGTTGAATTACCTGGCAATGACTGTCGGTTTCTGGCCATTTTCTCTGAGAGCAAGAATCCCATAGTAAGCTGCGTTGCTTAGCTGTCGAACCATATCTTCACAAAGTTACCTGTCAAGTTTCAGAGCGATCCCTTTGTTGCTTCTTTAAACACACTCCAAAGATCGACCAAACCCATGCGTTTTTATACAAGGGCAGAATTTGCCGAAAAGACCACCCCTCACATTTCTGACCACAGAACATACAACTGCATGCATCAATTGTTTCGAGAGTTGCGTGGTAATTAGGTAACACATCTGGCTACACATGGAGAGACACATTAGCTTTGGATTTAAAATAGTTAGAGAGAAAATAAATATTTTGTAGAAAATTTACTCGCCAAAAAATAATATTCCATGTTAAGTGGTAACCCTGTATTACAAATGATACAAGCTGGATGCTGATAGCAATAGAGACATTTACTCGTTTTAAGGCGTATGTCAACATGATATAGCGCAAACAAATTACAGTGATAGTACAAATAAAACGAAATATGCTAATGTGTCATTACAGCAAGTGGTCGGGACTGCGCTGATTTGTACAAGAACGGCGAGACGTTGAACGGAGTGTATACCATAACACCAGATAACAGTCCGAGCGCATTTAACGTCTACTGTGACATGACCACTGACGGTGGAGGATGGACGGTATGGTTTTGTTTATTTCAATAAACTTAGATTCATTCAAAAAAATTATTTACGATTTGTATTTCAGATGTGATTTTCCGTTTTTGGGTGGTTTCTTGGGTTCCGAACATTTCTCAGTATAACGGGCCCCAAATGATTTTCTTAAACCGCTAGTCACATTTTTTCTTGTCATACTTATTGATGGCTACTTATTTATGTTCGATAATTCATCGAATCCAGTGCTTGTCCCTGTTATTGGACAAAATATTTTGTGAAGTATTTTGTACTTTCAGTTGTTCCAGAAGCGTATGGACGGTTCCGTGGACTTCTATCGTGGCTGGCAATCTTATAAGCATGGATTCGGAAACCTGAACGGGGAACACTGGTTAGGTAATGGGACATTATTAAACATTCGTGATGTTCATCCAGCAATAATACACCTTTACAGGGATGCCGAAACCTGCAGGCAAATGTCAATTGAATGAAAGATTGCATTTAGTAGATTATGATGAATATTTCTGTTATCTCATTTGCATTCTGTTCTACGGGTAGATATTGATATCGATTACGCCGGGAGTGAAGAAAATTAGAATTATATGTTGCAGATTTTTAAAAACTGTTGATATTGTACAATGTAAATATTGCGTGTATCAGGTATTTTGTGTAATTTATTATATATATATATATATATATATATATATATATATATATATATTAAAGTGGTCCTTGTTGACAAATGGATAGACAGCTGAATTAAATGGTTGAAAGAGACATTACATTTTTCTACAGGGAATGAACAAATTAACACCATTACTAACCAAAGGCGATACGAGCTGCGTGTTGATATGGAGGACGCGAATGGTGTTTGGCGCTACGCCCATTACGACAACTTTGCTATCGCGTCAGAGAAAGCTAAGTACCAGTTGACTGTCGGCGCTTACTCTGGGAACGCAGGTAGGCAGTTAATTAATTTACACAGGCTTACTTTCACCTCATGTGTAACTGCATTTCTACACACACTCACACACACACACACACACACACGATTAAGTAATAAAGGAAACCAACCATCCCGCCTTTGTCAACTGTTTCTGTGCTCTCGAAATTCACGGTGTTATAATAACTTTTACATACACGCTACATAGTCCGTTATAAGACCATAAGGGCCTATGGAAAATACATCATAAAAGCTCACTACTATCCACTACTTTCACTATCGTTCTGTAACTCTT